GGCTGCTCAGCTCGGGCTGGACTCGAACCGCTGTTGCTCAGAGCTCAAACTCTTGAGCGATACGTTCACTCTTAATACTTAAATCAGATCCAGGTACATCCTGGGAGCACAATTACAAAGTAAACCTCAGGAGGAGAAAGAATTACAAGGTTCTGCTAATTTAAATTGAAGAGTATATGGATGAATGAACCTAAACTTATCAATTTGAATGCACTTTCCAGTAACTTGTTTCAATGTACTATCTAAATTAATTGACTGACTTCTAGACTCAGCTAAATGAAAATGAGAAGGAGGAAATCCCCTGATATTTGTACAGGAAAGAATCCAAAGAATCGAGGAGAAAGAAATATTGAAGTGTCTTTTCTCATGTAGCCAGCTCACCTTCCTTTGTAACCATGTTTCCTGAGGGGGCCTCCACCAAGCTTTCATAAAATCATTGGTGATTCTCTGAAAAGTACCACAGTGGCTGTTCTCTGTGACCAGGGATGCTGTGAAAGACACTGCAGTTGAAAGAAGCTCCCTGATTTAAATGACGATGATGGGAGCCTGAATTAGCAGAGGACAAATAGTGGTACTTAATATTCAGTGTCAAGGAGGGCATGGGGATGGTCATGAGCAGTGGGGCCCAAGTAGACTTCAGTGCCATGTGACCCACAGGGAATCTGCTGATCACTGAACATCCAACTAAGGTCCTCACAGATATGTAGGATGACAAAATTTCTAGGTCTGGTAAACAGCAGTCTGACTAAAACTCCCCTACAAAAATTCCCAAATCAGAACCTGTCCCTACAAACAACCAGAGACATTTGACTAAAGGAATTACGGGTCCACCTAGGGAGTGAGAACATTGGCCATTGCAGTGAAGAAGTGGCAAGGTCCAGTTCTTAACAAAGAAACGGTAGTGGAAAAAACTGTAGTGTCTCCTGTTCACTGGTAGTAGCTGCTGCTCCTTATCAAAAACATCCCAACCCATGGGTCACAGCACTTTGGTGAGCCACAGATGGAAAACAGGTGGTCTGGCCACAAAAGATGGATAGTTATAAGTTTTGTGTACGGATAAAAATTTTAGGCATTTTTAAAGCCATTAAAAGTTGATAGTTAGAAAAAAAATAGGTATAAATCTTTATATGAGGGAAACTACAAAACTCTGATGAAAGAAATCTAAGAAATAAATAAATGGAGAGATTCATGCTTATGGATGGGAATACTCAATATTGTTAAGATATCAGTTCTCAACCTGATCTATGGATTCAATACAATTTAAATCACAATACCAGAAAGCTATTTTGCATATATCAACAAACTTTTTCTAAAGTTCATATGGCAAGGCAACAGGCCCAAACTGGCTAACACAGTACTAAAGAAAAACAAGTCAGAGAATTAACACTAATTGACTTTGAGACTTAATATAAAGCTACAGTGATCAAGGCAGTGTGGTACTGGAAGAATAATAGACAAATCAATGGAGAAGAATAGAGAGGCCAGAAATAGACCAGCATAAATATAGTCAACTGATATTTGACAAAGAAGCAAAGTCAATCCAATGGAGAAATTCAACTACCCTTTTTTGTGCTGGAACAACTAGAAATCATGCAAAAAAATGAATCTAGACACAGACCTTACACTGCTCATAAAAAGTAACTCAAAATGAATTATAGACCTGAATGTAAAATGCAAAACTATAAAACTTCTAGAATACAGGAGAAAATTTAGGTAACTTTGAGTTTGATGATGATTTTTTAGATACAACACCAAAAAGCACAATAAGTTGGACTGCGTTAAAAATTTAGGCTCCGTGAAAGACCCTGTTAATAAGAAGACAAGCCACATACTGGAAGAAAATATTTGCAAAACACATACCAAAGAAAGGACTTGTATCCAAAACATACAAAAAAAGTTTTAAAACTCAAAATAACAAAACAAGGGCCAGCCGAGTGGCGCGATGGTTAAGAACTCGCTTGGGATGCCAGAGGGCCCCGGTTCGGATCCCACAT